TCATGGCCTGAGCTTTCAGAAGAATGAAGAAAGATATTAAAATCACCACCTAAGATCCAAGGAAAGGAACTAAAACTAGAGTCAAGGTCTTTTAGGTGTTGCCAAAGTTGTTTACTTTGAGTACCATCATTGTTGCCATAAATAGCTGAGATAAAAAAATGAACACCATTTCTAAGCCCTTTAGCAGTGATACTCTGGGCAGTAGCTTGACAGAAAGATAAATCCAAGCCTTTTTTCCCATAGGAACCAGATCCTACCATTTGAAGCATAATCATAGTTTGTGTAGTAGTTTCAATTACTGAAGTTGAGGTTTATATTGTCTTCAAATTTTTCAGGTTTAACCTTGGTCTCTAACAGACAAAGAACATCAACTTTGTAAAGAGTGGCCCTATACAGAACCTTATTCTATTTTTGAGGATTATTCAATTCTATGACATTCTATAAGCTGAAAATCATTGAGATAAAAAGGTTATTTCACCCCCAATTACTTTGTCAGTGTTTATTCTTTTTAGATTTTAGGTCTTTGATAAGAAGAGCCACTCCCAAAGCAGCAGATCTAGGCTTTTTGCTGTGATTCTCAAAGGAGGGAGAGATTTCATCAACAATACTTAAGACCTCAAATCTGTTTGAGGATCCTTTTGAAGAAGCCTTGTTTTTTTACAGGTCGACCCCTTCCTCTTTTAGAAACATTAGAAACTTTAGTAATGTTTCCAAGAGGAGAATTAGTCCGTCCTTCAGTAGAATAGTTAATCTGATGTAGAGGAACTTTTGAAGTATTGCAGACCTCATTAGAATTAGGAATATGAGGAGAATCATTTGAGGCAGTAGGATCAGAGATAGTAGAGACAATTTGAGGTAAAGATGGTATTGAAGTATTACAGACCTTAGTAGAATCAGGAAAAGAACTAGGTTGATCATCATTGGCAGCAAATCATATGGTGTTAATGTTGAAGTGTTACAGACCTCATTAGAATCAGGAAAAGAAATAGGTTGATCATCCTTGGCAGCAGGATCAGAGTATGTCAATAAAGTGCTAGCAGTTCCTTTAATAGGTTCCTTTTCTTTTGATGAATTCTCATTTTTTTTCAAGAGAACCAGAAGAGAGAGGAACTTGGGAAGAATTAGATATACTATGAAGTTTAGATTGCACAGCAGGGAGAGGTTCACCCTTTTCCTCCAAATTTGTAAATTAGTAGGAGCTGAATCTTTAGAATCTAAACAAGCTTTCTCAGTATGACCAAGTTTATTACATTTTTTGCAGCTATGTGGAAGCCAAGGAACTTCAACAAAAATAATAGTTGTCTGGCCATTTGCGAGAATAACTTCTATTGTATTAGGGATTACATCCTTCACTCCAATCTCAACACATATTTTAGCAAACTCTAATCTAGATTTTGAGGTAGTGACTGAGTCTATGGTTAGCGGGTTTCCAATGGCACCCTCTCTTGAAAACAGTTCGAGATGAACATTGAAAAGATAAACCCACAGTGGGATTTTAGAAAGATCAAATTGAAGTCTTTTAGAATTAGGCTCTCATTTCCTTATAATTAAAGGCTTATTCAAGATATGCCATGAACCATTATGTACCCAATCCCTCGTAGAATCACTATTGAATGAAAAATGTAAAGATTGTTGCCTGCGAAGCTTACCTGGACACGAACGCCTTTTGACTGGTTATTCCACAAACTTTCGACCATCCTTTGCATAGTTGCAAAATTGGGAGCAGCACCCAGGAATTGACCCACCAAGGATGAACTCCATTCAACAATTCCAGCATCGAAAACTTCTTGTGGAGGTTGGACAATAGGGTTTGAGTCACGAGATTTAGGTGGGAAATATTGTAGCTCTTGTCCAGATTGACATCCAAATAGCTTCCTCCAGTCCATTGAAATGGAGAGAAACAACACAGAGACGAGAAGGAAAAAAGAATATCGAGAAAGAACACCGGAGACGTCCCGGTTCTCAATTCCGTTAGTCCCGCTAACGTGCGCCTAGAGATCATTACTCTCCCCCCCTTTTTTTGTGTAGAAAGAGCATCAAAATGTTACATACTAATATTCTTTGGTATTTCTAGGGCTAGAACTACAGCCCACCATTTGCCATGGCATCGGTTGTAAAATTACCTTCTCAATAAACATGAGTCATTATCTATCACAATCAGGATATGCACATACATACTAATAATTTGAAATTTTCATATAGAATAAACATAAACAAAATTTCAGGGTGAACATTTATAGTAAAATAAAAAACTAATATAAAAATTTGAATTTTAAAGTGAGCACGTGCCCATCCCGACTGCACTTTACATTTGTCACTAATCTCAATAAAAAGTTTATTAGGGATGAATTATAGGGAATTTATAATATTCTAAAAAAAATATATATAAAATTATAAAATTAAAAAGAAAAATAATTATGAATATAAAAAGTATTTGCCAACATAGGTTAGTTTAAGGGGTAAGTAAGTTGATATCGTTTGCGCAATATTTTCTTTTTAAAATAAAAATTTTAATCAATTTTTACTTTTAATTGATTTTTAGAAGGAAAACTTTACAATAACCATACAAGAATGTAATAGCATGCTTTTCCTTTTGCTATTTTTGTTTTGTTGTTTTTTTAACATATGGAACAGTCCCCGACCGTCCAATTCTCGGGGATCAATTAATTGAAGTTTTCTTATGTTCACTCGTCTCATATTAGATTCCCGACATTGATTGGCTCTTTCTGAGGAAAATTACAGACGCCACCATTTTGTTCACCTCCATATTTCGGTCAGCACCTATGTTTAATTAATAGCTACTAATTCGATTTAGTTTAATTTACATAACATAAATTGTACGGTACCAATAATAAAGCAAATATAAATTGAATTATTAATATAATCTGTATCTATTCTACGAACAAACAATATAGTCATGTGTGATGTGGTGGAAGATAAAATGAATGAATTATAAGGTAAAAGTGGTTGAATAATGCAATGGAAAAAAATTCCTCACATAGTGCAGTCGAACAATTATTTGCTTAAGTAGGGTGATTGTTACAGTGATCACCATAGGTCTCCAGGAGCACACGACGACCTATGGAGCACTTGGCGACCTATGGAGCTGCAACAACGAGGGAAGAGAGAAGAGTTGCTGCAACAGAGGAGGCTTTGTTGCAAGGAACACTTAGCGACCTATGGAGCACTTGGCGACTAATGAGGTCACTGTAGCAAACACCCCAGTTCAAGAAATAATTTGGTTAGAGCTTTATATGAGGAATTTTTTTTTTTCCAACGCCCTACATGGGCGAGGAAGCCGAATTATAGGACTTGAATTACGTCTTGCAAGTTGATACGGGAAGTGTATTTGACAAGGATAATACGGTAAGTATTAGGTGCCTAAGAGTGGGAGTATACACGTACACTGCTCCGAGTGTGGAGCATAAAACACTTCCAAACATAAAAAATGGTTCGTCCTTGTCTGGCTATGTGATTTCACTTTCCTTCCTTTACCAATAAAATGGCATCAAGAATAACCAATGATGTCTACTTCTTGTTCTTTCTTTCCACCTCTCACTTTCTATCCCCCCATTATTCCTTTCCAAATTGTTTGTTTCATCTTTGAATACCACCGCTATCTTCTTTATGGGCATCCATAATACTGCAGCTTTTAAAATTAACCCTAAATATATATGTAGACGAGCTGTAAAGCGTAGAAACTCATAAGAGTTGTGACAAAGACAAGATGTGAATGTAAAACTAGTTAGCTTTTCGAACTTAGCGTCTCTTTACGATCACAAAAAAATACTAATAAAAAATGGGAACAAAATTTAGTCAAATACATTCCATTGATGGAACAACTTCAAAAAGCCTTAAACCGTCCTTTACTAGGCCACTCCCACTCGGAACAAACCCCATTGTTGTAAAAAAGGTGACGGTACCTCATTCAATGGAGATGCTCAGCTTAACCATTCTTTTTGGCTCCACACTTTATTGACGGAATATTTTGAAAGTCCTTTAAAGAAACTTATATTATACAAAGGGCTTCATACTCAATCGTCTCCCAGGAACAATCTACGTTCACAATGAGACGCTTCTGTCTCCTACTCCTTGTATTGGCTATGGTTGTTCTTTCTGAACCGCCTTCTGTCAATTGCTGTAGGCATATTCGTTCGACAAAAAGGGTATATGATGCAACCGGAGAAGTTGTTCGGGTCGGTTTGGATTCGGCTGAAAATGGGAGGGGTCGGGTTTTAGAAGAGAAGCTAGTGGTGGCTGATATGGCTGCCGGACCTAGTAGAAAAGGCCCTGGTCATTAGTGATTTATCCTACATATTCATGCTCATTTTTTCCCAGGTATTCTGGTTTGTAATTAGTGAGGGTTGTGGTATATGGTATAAGCCCTGTATTTTTGGGTACAGTTTAGAAGATTTATTGATTCTGTCTGGTAGATGTCATAGCAAATGTCTCAAAATTTGTTAGGTCTTTCTTAGGATGAATATTTCATGTTAAAAAGAGATTATTATTTTTCCCGAATTTTAGAGTATTTTATAAGTTGCAAACACTATTTTTCTTTTTGGCTTTTGTTTCCTTTCCAACTTCGAAACAGGCTGTGTTTCTTATATTCACCGTAAATTACTAACAAATATCAGAGCCACATGCTTTGTGGTGCGTTTGCATTGCAAATGAAGTAAAGCATAATGAATCAGATTCGATCTTCAACCGAGTGATCGGTACAAGCACTGCAAACACACTCTTTGTTTCGACCGATCACCTATTTCCGGATTATCGTGTTCCGGGATTCTTTTCCCTGAAGAAGGCTTATAACTGTTACCTGGGGATGTTCTATCCAGGATGCAACTTTATTAGTTTCATAAATCCCGGAATATTGTCTTGCGACACAAGTTATCTATTCCATCATAATGACTTCTCTTTTTCCCCTTTGGCTGTAAGAAGGAGTAAAAATGGTGCTTAGGCCTACTAAGGCATATGAATATACATAAGATTTTAAATGTTTCCCTTTATATCTCAGAAACAAGCTCTTGTAGTACAATTCATCTAGCTGGTATCCGGTAAATCTATGAACTCTACAAGTTCAAACATTAATACAGAACTGGCAATTTGATTTCAGATAATACTTAAAGAACGTCAACTGGCAAAGAGGTGGCTTGTAACCCGATTGGTTTACCTGGCATCATCGATTCTCAACTGCGAGAAAACTTCACTTGCTGATGGGACTGAATCAGAGTCACCCTCTCTTATAATGGACGTATCAGAGCTGTGAAACTGAGCAGTCATTGAAGGCAAACGCTGGATACCGGACACCAGGAACATGGCGGAAACATTGGACATGCTGTCCTCATGTGGCAGTTGTGCAACTGCAGTTTGCTGAAGCTGCAAAGCATACTCCAAGTCCCATGCCACATCACTCATGGTAGGCCTATCAGCAGCATCTTCTTCCAGGCATTTCTCCACTATATCTGCAAATTTCCTTAATGAGTTGGGATTGATCTGAAGTTTTATGGAGGGATCGATAATCTGCTCTAACAGTTCTTTTTTCTTGCATAGCAGTCCCCATTCGGATAGGCTGACTTGGTCTCTTGGAAGTGTAGGATCGATAGCTGGCCTTGCACACAGCACCTCGAGAAGAACCACACCGAACGAATAAACATCGGATTTCTCTGTCAGCTGTTGTGTCCTGAAGTAGTCGGGATCGAGATAACCGAAAGTTCCTTTAACATTTGTGCTAACATGGGATTGGTCAGGAGGACCTGATCTTGAAAGGCCAAAGTCGGCTACTTTCGCCACAAGGTTCTCATCAAGCAAGATGTTTGTCGATTTGACATCACGGTGAATGATGCCTCCAGTTGCACCTTTGTGAAGGTAATTAAGTCCCCTTGCGGCACCAATGCAAATTTCAAGCCTTTGCTTCCAAGGTAAGCAAGGCAATTCTGAGTTGTATAGGTGTTCCCTTAGAGTTCCTTTTTCCATGAACTCATACACCAGGATCATCTCAGACATTTCGTCGCAATATCCGATCAAGGAAACGAGATGGAGATGACGAATTCGGGATAAAACCATGATCTCTGTCTGAAATTCCGGGAGGCCTTGACCTGACCCTGGCTTTCTTCGTTTCACAGCCACTCTGATGCCAGTTCTAAGAGTTCCTCGGTAGACATCACCAAATCCACCCTTACCAATCAGCAACTTCGTATCAAAGTTGCTTGTGGCTAACTGAATCTCAAACAATGGTATCTTCAAACCCAGATTCAAATCAGGGACAGGTGAGGCATTGGTGGTGCCCTCTCTGCTTAGTTTCGACTGTTGAGACATCTTCCTATTACTGTGAGTGCTCCCTTTATAGGCAGTTAATGGTCGCCACTCCGGAGTTTCAACGGATTTCGACTTCCTGCATTTTGATCTAATACACAACAGACCTCCGAAGGTGCAGACAAGAACTAGACCTCCAAGGACCAGACCGACAATAACAAAGAGAGACATCTGTTTCGGCTTAACATTAACAGTAACAAGATCAGATACTCCCACCATTTCCATTATCTCAACCCCATTTAGAAAAGCTGTTTTCATCAAAGAACTACTATCAGGCCCGACGGAGATGTTCATGAATCCTGAATCATCAGAATCAACCACAAAGTCGACATAAAATGGAGTTGCCAATTGCCCCGTTATGTTATAAGGATTGATTTTCTGGCTGTAGTGGCTATCTATATAGAACAGAAACTGGAAGTTACTTAGTGAAAGACTAACAACGTCACAGAAGTGAACCCGAACCAAGTACCGGGCATTCGGAGTTACATCATAGGACCATGTAACATTGAAGTTGTTTGATGGTCTATCAGTATCTATATTCATCTCTTTGGCAGTCATATATACAGGAGCTGGTGCAATAAATTTGTCAACCGGGGTCAAATAATTAGGTTGACCTGCTAAACCTTGTATGTTCTTTGCAGTGAGGGCATTATACAGATACCCATCATCGGGAAGCCATGTTCTCAATAAAGTGTCGTTTTGCGGTGTAAGAGTAGGGCCTCCGACATTAATCCTATGAATTGTATGCAGAGCTTGGGAGAGTATACCGTTGTTACCATTGCTAGCTTCATCATTAATGAAGTCCGGAGGAGCCGGAAAGACCTCGATCGCGTTTACGAAGGCGAAAGAAGATCCTTGAGGTACAAAGTTGATTGAAAAGTCACCTATCGGTATGCTTAAAATGAATTCTTTTATTACAGCAGTGTTGTTACGGTTTTGGACTGTGAAATTATGTAGGAGCACGAAACGAGAAGCTGAAACATCAAAAACAGCAGCGGAGAGATTCATCGAACTGAAGAAATGAAGACGTACCAAGTAAGAACCGTTACCGTCGATTCCAAGCACGTAGGAAGACTTCTGCCAAAAAATTCTTGCCGTTTGATATAGATCTGATGGCGTCTTTGTCGCCCGCTTGTTGTCAAAGACAAAACTCTTCTGTTTGGTAAAGGAGACGAGACTAGAATTCATATCACCAACATAAGCCCGAGAAGCAATGTTTAAGTTGATGTTGGATCCACAGTTGATGAAATACTTGTCTGGAAGAGTGTATGCTGAAGAGGGTAGTTGAAATGATGAGAAAAAGACGAGAAAAAGAAGAAGAATTAAAGGTTGATGAAGCTTATCCTTCATTGATTTGCAGTATTTTTGCAGAAAATTCTCTTTCACTCTGTCTAATGACATTCTGTGAACCAAAATGATTATTTGAAAGGTTGAAGACAAGTCAAAATAAGGAGATTAGACTTATGAACCAAAACAGGCTCTGAGAAAATTCTAAGCAATTTTCATTGGAGTTGTCAATTTAATTTTAGAAAATACATTTCAATTTATAAAAAATATCTAGGAAGCGTCCAAGATAATTTAACGTGCATTTTGGTGGAAATATATGGCTCTGTATCAACAGACGGGGTGGGATTTTTATGTAATTTTTATAATATTTGAATTTAATTTAATAAATCTATTTTAAAATCTGAATTCGTTTAGTATTCATGTTCTATCATTTGAATCGACATCGAAATTAAATAAATTATCTTCAGGATATCCAGATTACATGGTTAATATATACGACAATATCTTCACAGAATGAATACTAAGATACAGTTTTTTAGACAGCAAAAGATAGATTCATACATCAGTACAGTGATAGTGACTAAGAAGACAAATTACCTGCCGAATTAGACTATCTGCCATCATCAATCTTCAGCTGGGAGAATACACCACTTTCTGAACCATCATCTCTTTCCATGGGCACCTCAGCTTTCTCTATCGGGTAGTTGTTCGTAGGCAATCGCTGAAAAGGTCTTGAAGACATGTTGAAAGATGAATCGATGGCATCAGGCATTTCTCAACTATTTCACTGAATTTTCTCAATGAATTAGGATTGATCTGGGAAGTCATTGCAGGATCAATGATCTTTTCGAGTTCCCCTTTGTTTAACCAAATCATCCCCCACTCGGCTAAGTTTATCTCCTCCTTCCTAGGGCTGTTCATTCGGTTAAAACCGAACCGAATTAATCAAACTTTTTTTTTCTTTAACCGTTAACCGAACCGAACTTTTTTCGAACATATTAACCGAACCGAATAAATTTCGGTTAATTCGGTTAATTTTCGAATTAACCGATTTTTTTTTAAAATTTTCTAATTTATATAAAAATTAAATGTTTTTAATTCAAAAAAAGTTTATAATTAATTTAAATATTATATAATTATAAAATAAAAATTTCAGATAAATTTTTTAATTAATTAATATTGATTTAGGTTTAAAAGTTATTGAATCTTAAATTATTAATTGGGTTTTAAATGGTTTGGGCTTAGCCCATATGTTATATATAATATATTTAATATTTTTTAATTAAAAAAACAGTTTACAATTAATTTAAATAATATATAATTATAAAATAAAAATTTTATATAATTTTTTAATTAATTAATATTGAATTAGGTTTAAAAGTTATTGGATCTTAAATTATTAATTGAGTTTTAAATGATTTGGGCTGAGCCCATATGTTATATATAATATATTTAATATTTAAATTTTAATTTCGGTTAATTAACCGAATTCGAATCGAATTAACCATTAATTGAATTCTAAAAATTTTCTTAATCGTTAACCGACCGAACTAATTCGATAACCGAACCGAATTAACCGAACTAATTCAGTTCGATCGGTTAACCGAATTAGTTCGGTTATTTAAACAACCCTACTTAGGGATGACAAACGGGCGGGTCGGGTGCGGATACCTCCTCCCCCATCCCCATACCCACATAATATTTTTCAATCCACCACCCGCCCACCACCCATGATGGGTACAAATTTTCAAATCTACACCTGCCCACTCGGGTACATTTTTCAAATCCATCCCCACACCCACTACCCACTAGCGACATACCCATCTAGACCCGCCTGACAGCAAACTAATGGGATGTTGGAGTTGGTTCCTAGACAGTTCGTGATGGAGTAGCAGCACATGCTTCAATTTATCAGAGAAGTAGCTCTACGAATGTTATGGAGACAGATTGTAGGGAGCATGTAGTCGCAGAGCTGGATTGTTGTGTTGCTTTCGATGTTAATACTCATAGTGCGCCTAATATGGGTTTTGAGAAGCTAAAGAATATGGAAACTGATGTTTTTTATGTTAATGCTTATAGTACAACTAATTTGTGTTTGGATGGACAACATGGGCTAAAGAACATGGAAAGTGTAGTTAGTGGGATTATAGGTTTAATCAAAGAGCCGAATATTTTCCTAATTAAAGATCAGATTAAAGATTAAATATCCTTAATATTTGGATAAATTATATGTTATATATTATACAATATTAAAATTTATAAATTAGTCTTTAAAATTACACCTAAATTCATAATGGTCCAAAATTTAATAGATATTTAGCTGGGTGGGCGGATGCGGGGCGGGCGGATGTGGGGCGGGTAATGTCTCAAACCCATTACCCGCCCACCACCCACGGCGGGTACCACTTTATAAATTCACACCCGCCCACTACCCGCTAAAATTATACCCATCCCCACTCTAATTAGAGCGGATGCGATGCAAAATCCACGAAACTGTACCCGTTTGCTATCCCTACCCCTACTCCTTCCTATGCGAGTTAATGATAGCTGGTCTAGCGCAGAGCACTTGAAGGAGTACAACACCGAAAGAATAAACATCGGATTTTTCAGTAAACTGAAGGCAGCTAAAAAACTCTGGATCAAGATACGCGAAGCTGCCCTTGATGCCAGTGCTGAAACCATCTGGATCGAGAAGGCCGGATTTCGAAAGTCCAAAATCTGCAACTTTTGCTACATATTCTTCATCAAACAAGATGTTTGTGGGCTTGACATCACGGTGAATGATTCCTCCATCCGAACCGGTGTGAAGATAATGAAGACCCTTTGCAGCACCTATACAAATTTCGAGCCTTTGCCTCCATGTCAATAAAGATAATGAAGATGGTTTCTTAGGATTCCCTTGCAACTTGTAAAGATGATCCCAGAGAGTCCCTTTCTCCATGAATTCGTAAACCAGTATCATCTCAGACCCTTCATCGCAATATCCGACTAGGGACACAAGATGGCGATGTCGAATCTTGGACAGAATCATGACTTCCGTTTGGAATTCTGGAAGACCCTGACCATGTTTGGACTCGCTTCTTTTGACTGCAACTTGGAGACCATTTCGTTGAATCCCTTTATAGACTTCCCAAAGCCTCCTTCCCCAATCAAGAATTTAGCATCGAAGTTTTTGTTACCTCTAATGTTTCAGCAAAAGGCATCTTTTACTTCAGGTTTAAGTTCGGAACAGGAGGAAGATTGCCAGATTTCGAGCTTACTCCGATATAAGGGTTTGCTCCTCCGAAAGGAAGGGTACCATATGAAGACATCGGTTCCAAAGCTTTAGTTTTTCTTCGTTTCTTAAACAACAAGAAGGCCACCAACAAAGTACAACAGATGACAACAAACCCAACGACAGAACCAACTATGATATACACTGAAGTCTTCCTTTTTGGCCCACTAATCTCTAGCTCCTGACCTGGTTCAGTGATGAACTCCATGATCTCGTGTCCATTGAACTCCATGATCTCGAGTCCATTCAGGTAAGCAAACTTATCCACGGTCGAGTTAGCCCAAGCAACAACACCAACACTAAAGAAATCAGATTCACCCAAGTCAACCACGAAATCCAAATAGAATGGAAGGGCCGTGTGGACATTATATTGGTAAGGATCGATTTGTTGGGTGAAGTTATTGAATATAAATGATGTGCATTCTTACTGACATTGAAATGCCAAGCAATGTTGCGAGAATTCGACGTCTGATTATCATTTAGGCTTACTTCTTTGCAAGTTCTGTGGACACCATCTGGTATAAAGTTTTGAGAGGCTGCATTATAGTTTTCACTATCTAGTGGAAATTGTTCATCATAGCGTAGCCTAATATTATAAGAGCAATTTGTTGCCCAATTTCCAACAACTATGTGGTCACTATCGGCTACCCATTCTTATGAAACTACATCTAGGTCACTAATGGGTTGGGGATCGGTTCCAAAAGCAACTCTATGAACTGTTCTAAGCAACTGAGAGGGCAAACCCTGGTAAAGACCCAATCTTCCTGTAAGACTGAGATGAGTTCGGTTATCCTTGAGATTTGGAACAAGGAAAACTTCAATGGCGTTCACAAAGGCCAAAGATGATTGGTTAGCAGGGATGAAATGGATTTTGAACTTGGATGAACTTATAGGCACAAAGAAATCTTTTATCACAGGGAAAGAAGTAGTGTTTCTGACACTGAAATCGGATAACAGAGACTTACTTGAAGCTGTAACATTGAACAAGGCATCCCCTAGTTGAGCGAAAGGAAAGAAATGGAGGCGTACTACGTGTAGGCCTTTGTCAACGATGTCGTCGAGTTCATAGGAAAAAGGATCAGTTGAGAACCTTGCTGTTTGATAAACAACCGAGGTTGATGATGACTGCCAGGTTGTGTCTGTGATCGGTTTGCCATTGGCAACAGAGGAGGAGTTTGGGTTTTTGTCACCCACAAATTTGTTAACTCCTAGTCGTGTCTCGGGAGAATCTGACCCACAGTTGATGAAGTATTTTTCTGGGAAAACATAGGGTTCTGAGAAAACCAAAACAGGGTATAATTGAAGAAAAAACAAAGGCACGAAACAAAGGTAAGAATCAGTAGATTTTCCATTGCAATCTGAGGGCGACTGTGAACCAGGTTTGGTGAAGGACACTAATGGCTATGGAGGAAGACTTTGGTTGACGAACCGACTATGATTCATGCCCTATGAAAAGATGAAAAGATTCAGGCCCTCTACTATTGCCAAGCGAAATAGTTTAGTGCAGAGGAAATGTCAATTCAAGTCTGTTCACGGCCTGACACCCATTCGTTGTCCTAAAGAACCAACTGTTTTTTATCTTTCCTTGTTCAACAGTTGACAACGAGTTTCTTTATTAATCACGAGGGTTGATTGGCATGGCTAATGGGCGGGTCGGGTACGAATACCCTATACCTATATCCATTTAATATTTTTTAATCTATCATCCGTTCACTACTCATGATGGGTATAAATTTTTAAATCTACACCTACCCACGCGGGTATATTTTCAAATTCATCCCCACATCCACTACCCACTAGCGACATATCCATCTAGACCTGTCTGACAGTAAACTAATGGGATGTTGGAGTTGGTTCCTAGACAG